GCATGTGTCGTTCCAAGATGGAGGAACCTCCTACTTCCTCTCACCTCTCACCTCCTCTTTCCTCTCACCTCCTCTTTCCTCTTCTCACCTACCACCTCCTCTTCTCACCTACCACCTCCTCTTCTCACCTACCACCTCCTCTTCTCACCTACCACCTCCTCTTCTTACCTACCACCTCCTCTCACCTCTTCTCACCTACCACCTCCTCTAACTTCCTCTCACCTCCTGTCTCCTCCCACTTCCTCCTCCTCTCACCTCCCACCTCTTCTCACCTTCCACTTCCTCTCTCACCCTCTCTCTCTTGCCCTCTCTCTCTCTCTCTCTCCCTCTCTCCCTCTCTCACCCCCAACCGGCCGAGGCAGATGCCCCCCCACCCTGAGCCATGGTTGTGCTCCAGGTTTCTGCCTGTTAAAGGAAGTTGTTCCTTGCCTGTGTCGCCTAGTGCTGCTCATGGTGGGAATTGTTGGGTTTCTGTAATTAACTTCAGAGTAGGTCTGACCTGCTCTGTTTGGAAAGAGAACTGTTGTTGTGATGTGGAGCTATAGAAATAAAATTGATTTGAATTGAAAACGTGCACAACCACAGCCACCACGCACATGCACAGGCGTGGCCCCCCGCCGTCCCCATGCAGACTCTGCCAGACTCCCGCCCACAGCTGCTTTTAGCCCCAGAGGCTCCAGGTTTGCCCACTTACAAAGAATGCAACGATCTATAACTTTAATCATATGTACATTCTAACAGTGAAAGACAGAATCCCAAAGAAAATTCCATGAAATCACATCATATGAATTTATAAAAATTGATAACCATCTGATGAGGAAAAATAAGCATTCTTTGTAAGTGGGCAAACCTGCAAAATCAGCAAGGGCTCAAATACTTATTTCCCCCACTGTATAACGGGTAGATCATTTTGACTTGGGCATTTCAAAAGTAGCTCCCAAGCTGAAAAAGTGTGAGCACCCCTGCTCCAGAAGCTCCGCCCCCCAGAGGCTCCGCCCCCAGAAGCTCCGCCCCCAGAGACTCCAGAGGCTCCGCCCCCAGAAGCTCCGCCCCCAGAGACTCCAGAGGCTCCGCCCCCAGAGACTCCGCCCCAGAGGCTCCACCCCCAGAGGTGACAGAGGCTCCGCCCCAGAGGCTCCGCCCCCAGAGGCTCCGCCCCCAGAGACTCCACCCCCAGAAGCTCCGCCCCCAGAAGCTCCGCCCCCAGAAGCTCCGCCCCCAGAGACTCTAGAGACTCCACCCCCAGAGGCTCCGCCCCCAGAAGCTCCGCCCGCAAAGGTCCCAGAGGCTCCGCCCCCAGAGGCTACAGAAGCTCCGCCCCCAGAGGCACCGCCCCCTTAGAGGCTCCGC